AAAAAAAAAAGAGTCTCTTATGGTTTGTCTCCCTTTCTGATTTCGTCTTGTTTTATCTTCCCCTCTCTTCCCCTATGATCCTCTGTTTTGTTTCTTAAATTCCACATATCAGTGAGATCATTTGATAATTGTCTTTCTCTGATTGACTTATTTCGCTTAGCATAATACCCTCTAGCTCCATCCATGTTGTTGCAAATGGCAAGATTTTTCTGATGGCTGCGTAATATTCCATTGTATATCTATATCCCACATCTTCTTTATCCATGCATCTGTCGATGGACATCTGGGCTCTTTCCATAGTTTGGCTATTGTGGACATTGCTGCTCTAAACATTGGGGTACAGGTGCCCCTTCGGATCACTACATTTGTATCTTTGGGGTAAATACCCAGTAGTGCAGTTGCTGGGTCATAGGCTAGCTCTATTTTCAACTTTTTCAGGGAACTCCATACTGTTTTCCAGAGTGGCTGTACCATCTAAGCCTCATTTTCTTAATGTGTAAATGAGGATAATCATTAGACCTAACGTGAGAGTTCAATGGGATAGTCCATAAAGGACTTGGTGCAGTGCCTAGCACATAGTAAATGCTCAGTAAATACTAGCTAATTATGACTGTAGCTTTTATTAAATGGAATCCTGAGAAGGGGGGAGAAAGACTCAAGTTCTGGCCCTGTCTCTGCTACTAATTTGCTGTGTGATTTTGGGCAAATCAGATGACTTCTCTGGTTTCATTTTCTTCTTTTTAAGTAAAGGGGTGGTCCATGTGAGTCCTGGGGCCCTACCCAGGTCTGGGACTTGGTTGACAAACATTTACTTGGAATACAAAATGAACTGGACCTTGTCCTGCAAGACCTCATAATCCAGTGGGGGACAAGTCATCTGTTCATTCATGAACTTATTCATTCATCCATGTACCCCAACAAATGCTTGGTGAGCAGCTCCTGTGCCAGGCATTGGGCAAGTGCTGGAGGCCACATGGTTAGTGATGGACCGCAGCTCAGAGATGCTGTAATGTGGCAGGTCCATAGCTTTGTGTGACGGGAGAAGAATGGGCACCAGTTCATTGTGCGTGGGTTTTTGGAAAGAATACAGCAAAATCTCAAGAGATTTGTGTCTTCAAAGAACATGAGTTGTTTGTTGTTGTTGTTTGTTTTGTTTTATAATGGGAAGAAGAACATTAGGAAGAGAGAATGATATAGGCCACAGGATAGAGTACCTGACGTGTGTGGGGACTGATTAACAGCCTGACTGGGTCAGTTGGTAGGGTGCGTGGGGCTTAGCAGTGAGAGATGAGATTAGAAGGGTATGGAGGTGGTGAAGAGGCTTGAGTGCCAGGCTCAGAAGGGTGTTCCTAAACTCACAGGGAGCCACTGAACTGTGCAAGGTTTTTAGGCAGACAAGTGCCCAAAGTAGGTGTTTTAGAAAGATTAATATTCTATGGATTTTATAAAAGCAGTTCACATAGTTTATTTCTAACCTGTTACAAAAGCCAGGATTATCATCTCTGTGCCTGAAACCATGTCAAACCCCCAAGACAAGGGCTCATAGGATCAGACTCCTAGGTGGACACCAATGCCTCCCACGTGGCTCTGCTGAGAGAGACAGAGCATCCCATCTGCCCGAGAGCAGGACAACCAACAGCCTCCCCTATCTGGGATCAGTGAGGGAACCAAAAAAGACACGGAGACTCCGGGATAAATATCACTAAAGCGCATATATTTTAGCCTGGCTGCTCTCAACTCTGCCTTTGTGGCACACAAAAACATCTTGATTTTTTTTCATTTGCTCAAATAAAGACTTGTAGCTTGAGCCAGGGAAATTACACATAACTCTGGTTAGGCCCATGAGAATGTGTCTTACACATGTCACAGAAGAAAATAGTTGAAAACTATTGCAGGTCTTTACTCAGAGCTTATTCAATCTTTTTATTTATTTGACACAGAGAGAGAGACAGCGAGAGAGGGAACACAAGCAGGGGGAGTGGGAGAGGGAGAAGTAGGCTCCCCACTGAGCAGGGAGCCCGATGCGGGGCTCTGTCCCAGAACCTGGCATCATGACCTGAGCCGAAGGCAGCCGCTTAACCGACTGAGCCATCCAGGTGCCCCCTCAATCTTTTTTTTAAAACATGTATTTCAGATAAGTTTGATACCTGGTTTCCAAGCCCAGAAGAATAGAAATCACATTTAGAAGGGGCAGGTGCGGGGGTGCCTGGGTAGCTCAGTCAGTTAAGTGGCTGACTCTTGATTTTGGCTCAGGTCATGATCTCAGGGTCCTGGGATTGGGTCCCATGTTGGGCTCCTTGCTCAGCGGGGAGTCTGAGGATTCTCTCTCTCCCTCTCCCTTGGCCCTTTCCCGCCCCCCCCCCCACTCCTGCTTGTGCTCTCTCTATATCAAATAAATAAATAACTAAATCTTTAAAGGGGGGGGCAGGTGAGGCTGCTACAGGCTGGCTCACTGGCCCCTGGAGGACGGGGACAGTTGTAGTAGTGGCTGTGACCTGTACTGAGTACGTGTACTGAGTACCAGGCATGTACTAAGTGCCTCCGACATGGCACATTCCTCACAATTGCCCATGAAGTAGACACGATCCTTTGCTGGTTCTGCAGGCAAGGCCACTCAGGCTTAGAGATTAACTTAGACCACTGGCCTGAGGTCACAGGAGGGCAGCATTGCAGAGGTCTTCGGGACTCTGGGGCCTGAGTTCTTACCTACAACACTTGACTGCTTTTCTCATGACACTTGTAGCAAGTGACGAAACACAATAGTTCTTAATAGTGGAGAGAATCATTTTAAGATTTTTTTTGACCGCAATCTGGAAGCATTTGGTGTAGTGGCAGACAGCTCTTCCGTTCTTAGCCAGAACACAGCACAGCAACTGGTGTTCCTAGTGGTGAACACCCGTCAGCCAAAGGAGCTAGTTTTCTGAGGAGGACACTCTGCAGGAGAGGAATTCGAGATAAACAACAAATACCTTTACTCATATTTTATATTAAAATAAAAGAATAAGAAGGAAGATACCCCATGAATAGAGTACCAGTGGGGTTGTACATGTATTCAATTAGTAATTATGAGAACTGTGTGGGGGGATGGGTTAGCCTGGTGATGGGTATTAAAGAGGGCACGTTCTGCGTGGAGCACTGGGTGTTATGCACAAACAATGAATCATGGAACACTGCATCAAAAACTAATGGTGTACTGTATGGTGACTAACATAACATAATAATAAAAAATAAATAAAATAAAGATAACAATGCCATAGATAAAAAAAAGTCATTATGAGAACTATACAATAGTTAATAAATAGCTAGTGAATTTCCATTTACCATCACTTGACTAGGAGAAACTTCTATAAGAACTCTTCCCACACAATTCCAATGATGTTCTTATGATTTGTTTGGTTTTGTTGCACATGATATGCATACAAAGAGACATTCTTTTCAGCTTGGAATTTGGAAAAGATTGTGTTTTGCATATGCTTGGTTTGAATTATGACTGTAGGAAGTAGGCTAGACTTTGAAAGGTGGGTATTTAGATTCAGAGACAGCTTACGTGAAGTGCATTGCATTTAATGTGTACGTCAGGACCAAGAATTATTGATAAGAAAATGAATGTGGCTTTCGTCCCTCTCCAACCAGCCAAATTCTCCCCACCCCCATCCAAAAAAAAAAAAAAAGGAAAAAAGAGTCTTGCTTGGTGGGCAAGAAGCTCAACTGTTTTGCGCAATCTGAGGGCAAAGGGAAGAAGGGAGGAGAACAGAAGAGAGAAAAGTAGAGAAGGAGAGAACAGCTATGAGCTTGCATGAGCTCAGCGAGCAACGAGCACAGACAGAAGAGATGAGACCCGAGCACTGAGCCCAGGGCCCTCCTACAGTAAGAGGTCAGGGAGAGGGGAAGAAAAGCAAAGAAGCCTCAGATGGAGCGGCCAGTGGGGGAGGAGGAAAACCAAAGAGTGTTGTATCCTGGAAGCTGAGGGAGGAAGTGGATCCAGGAGGAGGAACGACCAGAGACAGGCAGTGATGACAATTCTTTTGAGGAGTTTTGCAATAAAGGGGGCAGAAATGTTGGATGGGAGCTGGAGGGAGAAATGAGGTTGAGAGAGGGACTTTTTCTGGATCAGAGATATAATGGCACATGGCAATGCTGATGGGAAGGCCCAACAGGGAGAGAAAATGTCATCGTGTAGGAAAGAAAGGGCAGAATTACTGGAACAATGCCCCTGCCTTGGTGAGAGAAGTTGGAGCCAGCAGACAGAGTGGAGGAAGGGCCTTGACCGGATGCACAGAGGGTTCATCTGAGGGGAGATGGAACAGAAGAGACAGGTGCAGAGGCTGGTAGGGGAGAGGGTGTGGTGGTGGGTGTCTGTGGAAGTTCTCTTCAGCTAGCCTCAGGATCACAGTGGTCATCGTTCTGATAGCAGCTACAGAAGGGGCATTCCTCAGAAGCTTATTTGGAAAGACCAAAAACCTCTGAATGTCAATTATGTCCTTTATTCCAACAGAGGACTACCAGGAACTCATTGAAGACATAGTTCGAGATGGCAGGCTCTATGCTTCTGAGAACCATCAGGAAATACTGAAGGTGAGTACATAGCCAAGGAGGACACCACAGTCACCCATCACTCACGGAGCTCCCGGCTCCACTGAAGGAAGCTTTTCCTCTGGCTCCATGTTGCCACCTGCCAGACCCTGAGCCTGCTCTGGGCTGAGGTTAGTTTGATATCTTCACCAGACTTAATTAAAAAAAAAAAAAATTCAGGTGGCTGTCTTCAGTGTTGCCAAGTGAAGTTGTATTTTTTTACATTTGGAAGTGTGTGAAGGAAGAGTGGGAAACTTGCTTATCATAAATCCAAGCCAGTGGCAGATCGTGTTTCCATGTTCACTCTCCAAATAGTTGAAGATCTTTGGCTCCTTGTTTATCCTTCAGGCCTAAAGTTCACCAAATTTTAGATACTTGTAAGTAATCACCAGACACTTGCCACATCCCTAACCCTATAAATACTCCCCAGATTCCAGTATTGCATCTCATCTGGTTTAGAAAAAGAAAACTGTTTTTTTATATATTCACTGTTCCTTTAAAAAATAATACATTTTTCTGTAGATAATTAGGGAAAATAAAAACTGGAGAAAAGATAAAAATCAGAGGAAACCATTTTCACAAAGTGTTTCTCAGCTACTCAACCTACTGTCCAACCCAGGACCCCAACCTGGGTCCATTATAGTTCCAGTGGCAAAATGTTGGAATGTTTAAGTATTTTGGCCCAGTAACAAAACTCACGTTCTTTTTAGGATAAGAAACTGATCAAGGCTCTGTTTGACGTCCTGGCCCACCCCCAGAACTATTTCAAGTACACAGCCCAGGAATCCCGGGAGATGTTTCCAAGATCCTTCATCCGATTGCTCCGTTCCAAAGTGTCCAGGTTCCTGAGGCCTTACAAATGAGCCCGCCCATGAGCCCCTCGGTGCCACGTTCTGCCTGTGGGCTCTGGGACGCAGCCGTTTGCCTCTGCAGCCAACACAGTTGGCTGTCGCTGCCTCCCATAGCAGTGACTCATTAGAATTCAATTTTTATAGATAATACAGATATTTTGGTAAGCTGAACCTGGTTTTTCTTTCCCAGCATTGTGGATGTGGACTGAGAATAGAATGGCAGTGAGCCCCCCGAGTCTCACTGCTGTGGGCAGATGTCTCGGATACATCAAGGGCTGACTGAGCGGGACTCTAGTCAGTTCAGGTGAGACTCACCTGTCCTTCCTGGTTCTTGCTCCTCCTCAAGGGGGCCATGGTGGAGAGGAGGCCACAGAAGGGGCTGCCTTGGCTGAAACTTCAGCTTCCTCGCCCAGCCCTCCCTAAGGGAGCCCTCTGCACCAAGGCTGTGACCAGGCAGAGCAGGAAAGGGGGAAGGGAGGGAGGGAAGGAGGGAGAGTCCCCCAGGCTCCAGGCACCCACCTGAGACCTGGGAGGACTCCATTTCCCCATGGCCTTCTCCAGCCTGTGTGACCTAAGTCCTGCTGCGTGACCATGCCAGGAGCTTGGGTTCTAAGCAGTGATCACTTAAGAAAGTACTTAAAGCAGAAAGAATTAGAAATAAAAAGATAAAAACTAAGCATGTCCACAGATATAATCATGTAGCTCTAGGGACGGCCTTCCTTGTGACGAGCTTCTGCTCAGCGGCCTGTGCACAGTGCTGGTTTTAGCGCCTTCAGCTGTCCTTCTGACGCCCTGCTGGGCACTGCTGTTAGGGCCTGGAGAGTTCAGGGCAGATGTGATCTCCTTGGATGAGAATCATCTACCGCTAGGAAAAGTACTGACTCACAAACCCTGAGTCCAGTGGGCTTGCCTCCACAGGTGTCCGGGGGCCAGGTGGGACCCGGCACAGGCCAGACTGGTAGGTTTACTTCCCTTGCCCACATCCAAGGTCAGATGCTGACTCAGCTCTGAGGATGTGAGCAGCACCATTGCGGGTGGGCTTGTTCTCTTAATCATCACACCACCACCAGAAGCAGCTACACAAATCCCGCTTTCCAGGTACTACAGAATTACCTTTTGGTCAGCACGGTAGGGCTTCACAGTCCTTTACTCCCACAGAATCGGGAATTTTCAATATTATTTAATTTTTACAGATTTAAATCCACAGGCAAAAGTCTCATTACACTGAATAAAAAAGAACCCTATCAAACAAGCTGCCATTTCCCTGAACGGGCTGGCGACACTGTGTTCTGTTACTTCAGTAACTAACCCTGGACACACAACTCTCTACACCAAAGTACTCAAAAACTGGTTGACAAATATTTCTAAAGAAAACAAAGACTATTTTCATTATTGTTGAGCTCACTTTTCACCTCAGTTGTTTTTTTTTAACCTATCCATCTCACTGATTTAAAAAAAAAAAAAACCTAATCAAACTTTTCTTCTTTATTTGGATGGGTCCTAAATACCCATTTCCAAATTTCTTTTCAAAAATGGAAACGTCTTCATTTTTAAAACTAATCATCAAAATAAGCAATTGGATTTTGTCATCTCAGAACTTTGCCTACATTTCTGAGTCTAACCATAAAATGAAAATTCAAAGGTAATACGACCCGAGTCAGTGACCCGCCCGATGTGGGGGTGGCGTGAGTGGAACTGTGCCATCCTGCCCAAGCACATTGGTAACTTGGTGTTCATGGCGGTGTGGTTCTGCATTGTGGGTGTCACAGGAAGACCAGGGATGGAAATATGTTGGGGGCTGGAAGGAGGCCGCGGAAACCTGGTCTCTGTGAGGCCCCCTCCAGGAGCAGGCCCACACGCCAGAGCTGTGCTCCTGGTACAAGCATGAGCAGCTGCAGCCCTCCCTAAGCCCCTTCTCTGTCCCCGCCAGCCACCCTGAGATGCTGTGGGAGACTGGCTGCCCGTAGCTACTGGTGCTACCTACTAAACCAATAAAGATTTATTGAACGTCTGCTCTGTGCCAGGCACTATTGTAGGCCCTAGGGATGCACAGTGACAAGGCAGACAGGGTCCTTGCTCTCGTGGAACTTAACATTTTAGAGGGAGGAGACGGCCAATGAGCAAATGAATCACCATGGAAAGTATCAGCTAGCCTTGTGTTTCGCGGTAGGTTAATGTGCCGGAGGACTGCGTTGCTACTTGAGAATTGGCGGATTGTGGAGGGCCGCTCTGGGGAAATGACATTGCAACATGAAAACGGCCAGAAGGAACCAGTCTTGGGACAGGCAGGGGGAAGAGCTCTCCAGGTAGAGGGAGGCCAAGTGCAGAGGCTGACAGGCAGGAGCCAGCCTGTGTGTGGTCACCGTGCAGTGAGAAGGCAGCGGGATGAGATGAGGCCAGGGGAATGGACAGGGGCCAGAGCACATCAGGCTTTGGAATCCAGAACGAGAGGCTCAGGTTTCACTCTAAATATGTTTTCAAGCTTTCAGAGGGGTTGAGGCAGAGGAGTGGGATGATCTGATTTATGTTGTTAAAAGATAGTTCTGGTTCCTGTATGAATACATTTTAGAAAAAGCCATGGATGCAGAGAGCCATTAGCCAACTATTGCAACCAACCAAGCAGCCATCCAGGTGGGAGATGAGGTGGTCTGGGTTAAGGGTGTGGAGTGGAGATGAGAGAATAGAAAGTTTCTGGACCGGTTTTGGGGCAGAGTGTAGAACTTGCATGAGGACTGGATGGAGGGGAAGGGAAAGGCAACCACCAAGGGGGCCTCCTAGTTGCCTGAGCAACTGGTAGCTGGAGGAGACGGGCCATTTCAAGTATGAGGTACCTGTTTAGGAATCCAAATTCAGAGTTCAGATAGGCAGTTGATTTTATGAAGTCCCAGAAGAGGTCAGCACTGGAATATGAATTTTAATGTCACCGAATAAAGACATGAGACATGAGGTTGAGGTCACCTGGGCAAAGTATGTACATCAAGAAGACCAGGGAGCTCTGCATTCTGGGATTCCCTGTGTGGGCCCAGGACCGGGACTGGAGGAGCTGATTGTTCAGTAAACAGGAAGAAGTCGGAGCTGAGTTTCCCCTGCCCTCCAAGGGAGCTCATTCTGTGGGAGGACTCTGAGTGGAATTGGAATCTGTACAAGTCCTTCTTTCCAGCTGTGGATATCGTTCTTGAGCCATTTACTCAAGTGCTGCATTTATGGATTTAGCAACATTGCCCTTGAGTTTCCAATGCTAATAAAAGAGTGTTTGCCTTTTCACACTACCAGATGATTATCTTCACTGTGGAAAATTGCTTCCTCTGAATCATTCTCTGAGCTGTTAAGTGTGTTGTCTGTAGGCATTCGCTGGATTTAGGTTTGCAGGTGATTTTAAAATTGTCAGGTGGTAATTTGGGAGAGATCGTGGCTGCATAGCACAAAGCAAGGACTCACTTGCCCTCGGGCAGATCTTTATGGGGAGAGCACCAGGGCTGGTGCCTGCTGTAGGCTGCGGCAGCTGGTAGGCCTGTGCGCTGGGAAACCCAGGCACCCACACCAAGCCCAGCCTGATCCTCTCCTCAGCCCAGAAGGGATGCCCCTTACTAGGGCTTTCAGCATCTCTGCTTCCTTTCTCACAGCAGGATGGGTCCTGAGAGCCTTACCCAAGTCTTCATCACTCTTAGCCAGTATCTGAGAGGCAAATGGATTAGATGAAGAGTAAAGCAGTTCCTCACCAAGTTCAGGGAGTTTTGTTATCTATGGCCTTCTTGCTAGGCAAGCCATCCTTTGAATCCGGGTCCTAGACGTAGCCACGAGGGGCCCATCCATAGGAAATTAGAAGTTTTGGTGAGGGTTCCTTCTACTCCAGGGGACTGTGAACCCAGCTTGAGTTTCCTGAGTATTTGTGATTTCCTGCTTCCTTCTCCCTTCAGGCAGTCCTGATCGGCCTGCAGGAGACCATCCTCAGGGGTCTGAGGCCCAGCAAGGCTGCTCCTGTGATAGACAGCCATAAATACCTAACTACTCAACAGGGATCACTTTCCAGAGAACACAGTAGAATCAAAATAGCTTTAGAAAATGAAACCACTCTAATTCTCAGGCAGGTTGTGTTAGCTGAGTAAAAGGGACACAAATTCACCTACTGCAAACAATGACAATAACTTAGCACTGTTTGGTTTTCAGAGTATCTCATTAGGGGAATGCAACCACAGACCTTGGTTACTGTTTGTTCTCTGTTATGTGTTCGCTCACTTTGTCGTTTATCCAACATATTTCTTGACGGCTTACTAAGCGCTAGGTACCGTAGGAGCAGGTGGTGCTGCAGTGAGCAAAATAAAGTCTTTGCTCTTGTAGAGTTTAGATTCTTAAGAAGGGAGACAGAAAATAAACAAGTAAACAGAAATTGGAAAGTCAAGTGTGATAACTGTTTAAAGAAAGTAAAGGGCAAGATGATAGAGAATGAGTAGGTGGTGAGAGGGAGTTGCTATTTTAGGTAGGGTGAGCTCATCGTTACAGTCATGAATCCAGGCCTCTCCCGGGGCACTGGCTCCTCAAACCTACCCTGGCAGCACTGGCCCTGGCAAGCTCCTCTGCCCTCCCAGCAAGCACTTGACATTTCGTCTCCCGCCAGGCTGACCAGAGCTCCCAAGTTGTGAACAAGCCATTTTGCAATTCCTGGGACAGGCGCCACCTCGCGGTTGTAAAATGGAATAGACGCGTGTCTCCGTCATCCCCCTGCTTTGGAGCTTAAATGGCCACAATTCAAGGCGAAATGTTACCAGTGAGATTTGTGGACCAGGGCTTTGGTTTGACAACTAATTGATTGCATGTTGTTGAGTACAGCCCTCAAAACGTATCTGTTTAGATCTTTTCCTTCTCTCTGCCTGGCCTAATGACTAATGACTAGGCGGGAAGTCCTTGATTTGGGTCTTTTCAAACTATTAACAGTGCTCTGAATCATGTCCAAACACCCCCCTCCACCCCCCCCCGCCCACACACCCTGTACATTCATTCATTCATTGTAATGGTCTAGGCACCATGCTAGGCTGGATCTATATCGCTGAGACAGGAGGGAAAAGGAGTTGCAAGAATGAGGGCGGCAGGGAGTCCCCAAACTGTAATCTTGTGAAATGTTTCAGCACATGTAGTTCCAAGAGCTACCACACCCCCTGACTTGGACC